TCCACAAAGGCCCCCTTTGTCCATGTGGTGTTCAGCAGCTTGCTAATCATAGCTCCACCGTAGTCCGCGTGCTACTCGTAAACCACCTTCGGCTTCACATTGAAGACCTTGAGCCATAGGCTGAAGTGTGGGTGGACACGGAGGAGAGCCACACACACGACTATGAACGTCGATATGTGGAGGAATGAGTTCGGAGCTAGATCGTGGAAATCTAGCCCGTAGTAGTACATGAGTCCGCGGACGAACGGGTGGAGTGGAGAGCCTAACCCTCTAAGGAAGTGGGGAAGGAAGACGACCCGTTCGCCGGGCTCTGGAGTGGGAATGACTTGACCTTCAGGGGGAAGCCGGTGCTTGATATCGGCGGCGAGGTACCCCGCACTCCGGAGATCTGTTATCTCCTTCTCCGTCACGGAGGAGGCCTCCCACTTGCCTTTGGAGCCAGCTCTGGCCATGGTCGGAGTAGGTGGGGGTGGTGGTGAGAAAGACGGAGACTTTGCGGGCATAGAGAGCTTGGGAGATTAGAAGGCTGAGGAGATGTGAAGGCGTGGGGAGGAAAGTGAGGGTCCATTGCCCTTTTATAGGCAGTGAAAATACTAACCCCCCCCCCCACTCGATCCTTGAATGTCACCTATTCTCAATGAAGGCGTGCGCCACAAACGGTTGGATTACCCAAATATCATTGATATGCAATCCCGTATTAAGTGGGCACGATCTCTATTTGACAGAACGTGCCAATGGGGCGTGGCCTCGAAACACGGAATTCGGGGTAGCAAAATGGTTCAAAATGCCAAAGGGTCAAGTCTGACGCTTCGTCGAAAAAGTTGTCAGCAAAGACACTATTCTTATTTTTTATATATCTTGCCTTCGCGGCTAAGGGTTGTGTTTGTTGTGAAAAGCTGGATACAATTCTTTTACAGAGGAAAGCCGATGTATATTCTTCAAGGAACCCGCCTTGCAGTGTCGAAGACAATCTGAGCACCGAATATATCATCATTGAAGACTGGTTCAGGGGCTATTGTGGGAGTCTTGGACTGGGGGGGGGGGTCCTCGGGCGTCCGGTCTGTTAATGTGGGCCGGACTGATGGGCCGTCAAGATACAAGACAGAAGATTATCTCTCGTGTATGGTAGGGACTCCTGTATGTGTGGATGGCAAGTATAGGTGTCCAGATATCTTATTCCTTTCTGTAAAACTGACTTTGTACACCCCCCCTCGATGTCTATATAAACCGGAGGGTAGATCGGAGGCAGGACCACAACATTGCTAGGCTAGCTATCTAGGGTTAGCCAAATTGATCTTGAGGTAGATCAACTCTTGTAACCCCTATACCCTCGAATATAATCAAGCAGGAGTAGGGTTTGACCTCCATTAAGAGGGCCCGAACCTGGGTAAACACTGTGTCCTTTCTCCATAGTTACCATTGATCCTCAGACATACAGCTTGTGCCCCCCCCCTACCCGAGATCTACCGGTTTTGACACCAACAGCGGGCTCCCTCGAGGGTCGCCACTACGGGCAATGAGTCTTTTATGCTGGAATTGTTGTGGGGTAGGCTTGCCCGTGTCAGTTCGAGACCTTCGCGAGCTTATGAATTTTGTTGTCGAACAACCAAAAATGAGATGGTTAATGTTTTCAGGTTTGGGGTGGAAGAGACATGTAGAGTCACCAGTCCAATTCCTCTTGTCGTATCTTTTTGTTGCGATTGCATTATGCCAAATGAGCCATAATCTGGATCTTAATTTTAAAGGGTTTTTAGCTTTTCATAAATGGTTTAAGGATCTATCAGGATCCGCATTAGACAAGTGAGCATATATAAATTTTACAATAAACTTTCCACACTTAGTCCACTTCCAAAGAGGAGAATCATCAATCTATGAAAAGTTCACCACATTAAACTTCTCTCTCGATTTTTTTAGCTAAAACCTCTCTGGATTCTGAATACCTAGACCACCTATATCTTGCCACACCACCTCTATAGTCTCCAAATTCCACACCACTTGCAGAGTAAGTTGGCATTCAAGCTCTCTAGATTATGAATACCTATCCCACCTTTTTTCTTTGATCCACATATATCATGCCCTCTAACCATGTGATATTTCTTCTTAGTTCCACATTATTGGAAAAAGAACTTCTAATAGATTTCTCCATCCTCCCAACATTTGTTTTAGGAAATCTATACATGGAATGATTGGTAGATAGGGACGCTGGTCAAACAAGCTTCGATTCTTATCACTCAACCACCAAGAGATAGAGTTCCAACCTCCCAATCTTTGAGTTTTCTAATATAATTTTCTTCAACATGAATCTAGTCAACCTCATGTAATTTGGTACCGCACATGGACACCACTAAGTATCTGATAAGTCATGACCCCGGTTGACAATTGGAAAGATAAGCAAACATCTACTCATCTCATCATCATCATACTAAACCATGAGAGCCTCACTTTTTTGGAAATTTTCAAACCAGACATTTGCTCGAAGATGTGGTATAACAACAGTTTCAAGTTTCTCGCACTAGCAATATCATCTTGTATAAACAATATAGTGTCATCATTGTATTGCGGGATGGCTACCCCGTTATCAATCAAATGAGGAATCAAGCCTATATTCACCCATTCCAAGCAAGCCATGCCATTCTCTGCAAGCAGTTAGCTGCAATATTGAATAGAAAAAGAAAGAGAGGCTCATACTATCTTACACCTTTGAACCTGGCAATATTTCTCACCACCAAATCATTAACTTTAAACGGAGTGCCACTCCTCTCACGGTTTCACTGTA